TTGTTCATTAAAAATTTGTCTTATCTTATAGTTTATCTCTAGATTTTTAATCTCAATATTTTTTCTATTATATTTTTATTTATGTACTACTTATATTTATATATTATATCTTATCTTATATATTATATAAGATTTAATATATAAGATATATATCTTATATATTATATCTTATTATTATATTATATCTTATATAAATTAATAGTTTTGATCTTAAAAATATAAAGATTTTGCATTTTAAACAATTTAAAAAAGTATAATAAGTATAATTGTTCTATAATAAGTATAATAATAAGTATAATTTATTCTACCATTTAAAGAATTATTATTTCAATATCTCAAAAATTTCTTATTTTTCTTTATTATTTAAATATTTTTTTAATGTTAAATTTTATTTTCTCTTTGTCAAAAGTTCATTTGGTCAAAAGTTCTCTTATTTAAACAAATTTTTTTTTTTGCATTCCATTTTATCTTTCCTCTATATATCAGTCTTATAATTTAAAAATACTAGTTTCATATGATTTTTATATAAAATCGAATATAATGAAGTTTATTTTCTTCAATATGACAATATAATTTTTATCTTATATCTTCTTGCAAATGATTGAGAAGCCATATAAAATCGAAAAGAAAATTCTATAATCGAGCAAGAGATGATCAAGTCATTCGTCGATTTCAAAATATCTCTCATCATTTATCCATCATTTATCCATCTAGCCTCCTTCACAATCTCTTATCCCGGAATTGACTCGTGAAATCACTGACTCTCGCTGCGAACTGAAAAAAAAAAAATCATTCTTATCTGTCCCCGCCTATCTGTCCCATTGAGCAACGTGTTCCATGGAACTCTGAATGAAAAGAAGAGAAAAAAAACCGAGAAAGAGAAAAAAAGAAATGAAAAAAAAAGAAAAGAAAATAAAAAAGAGGCGAAATCTCACGGAGGGAAGAAGGGAGGGAGATAGATCCTGCTGACAAGGGCGCGATTTCTGATTGCTGTCGCATTGTACATGCCTTGTCCCATAACAAGAACGACGCATTGTCGCTTACGAGCAGTGAATACGTTTGGCAAGATTCCCGATGACATGGGAGGAACCGAAACAGAGGGAGACGTACACGGGCCGCAAGAGAAGAAACCCATGCAGGGCATGGGCCAAAAATTAAACCTCTGAGACAATAGGTCAAGCGTCCATAGAAATGGAAACACCAAACACGCCCTCTGCTTTATTTCTTTCGCGAGACACAAACGAAAGAATCGATCTCGCTTTTCAATATACCGCGAACGTTCATGAATTCAAATGCTTTACCATTCGAAGAGCTAGATAGTTGAAAAAAGAAGCAAAAAAATTATTCGCTTGTTTGCATCTATTAATCATTGAAAATAAAAATAATGCGAGATATAATCTAATCTAAGATATATCTAATTAAACTGCGTTATAGCTAATATTGTATTAAATTATTCACAAAAAGTGCTCAATTATATTTCTTTTATTACATTATTCTTATATAATTTTTGAAATAATTTAATATAATTTTTAAACTATTGTATTAAAAGTATTAATTTAGGATTTATTACATTTTATATAGTAATTTTAAAAAGTATTCATATACTTTTTAAAATATGACAATTTTTTTAATTGAATTTAATATATTGACTTGTTTCTAAAAATTAAAAGAATTAATTTAAATAATAAGAATTAGTTTAGTTTAGATAACATGTAAAAAAATCTTGTATAAATTATAATTTTTTCATACATACAATTTACATTTTTTTAGACATTATCTAATAAATTAATGCTTTTAATTTCTTAAAATAAATTTAGATATTAATTCCAATTTTAAAAAAGTTACCGCATTTTAAAGAATATTTTTTATAACCATATTTTTTATAACGTAAATATAAAGAAAAGAAAAAAAAAAAGTAATTTTAAATATTTTAAGAAAATACAGTATTATTTTTCAAAACAAAATGAATTTGCTACAAATTCTAGAATATAAATATAAAAAAATTTTTGAAAAAAATTTTTAATTACCAGCAATAAAATAGTTAAATTGATTTTTACATAATAATATTTCTATGCATCATAATGATATGATATCATTAAGATATTATATCGATTTTAACATTCTCTTTCAATATTTTATTTATCACATTACCTATTTTAACTAATATAATAATACATATAAATATATATAAAGACATAAATAATAACTTTTATACATATAAATATATATAAAGACATAAATAATAAGTTTTTCTCGAAATATATCAAATTTTGTTTTAGACATATGAATTCTGAAACTACTTGAGGATGAACCTTTGCGACGAACGTGTGATCTCATGTCAAAGTAGTCGTCCTTGATAACCGGGGACATCGAAGCGAAACGTCTTTAAAGAAAGTACATCTTCGACAATCGAATTACCGACAGGGTCAGTCGGTCTCTACCGCAGTAAACTTGTAAAACAATAAAAGCTTCCGGTAACCTAGCGAACCGGTACATCGAGTTAGCCAACTCGAACTTTTCACCGGAAACCGCTACGAACCCGAACCGTGTACCATCCAGGATGACCAATAGTGGCTTTTTCCAGTTCTTATCAAACGAACCCAGAAACTAAAAGTCATGAGATTGCGACGCATTTTGAAAAATTTTAAAATATAAATAAATAAATGTTCTTTACTTTATATATATAATCTATTATATATTTTGTGTAAAATTGATGAATTGCATAATAAAATTTTAAAATTAAATTGTTTTTAATATTTGATATTTTGTTTTTGAATAAAGATAGTATAATGTATGATATTAATAAATATTATTAAATATTTTTTGACTTCTTTCATTTCTTTATATACAACAAATATACAATAAATATATTTCTTATTAACAATACTTTTACAATTATTTATTTAAATTCACCTTTATTATTCATCCATTAGTTAAATTATAAAAAAAATTCTATATTATTCTCATTAAACTTCTTTTATCTCTTGTTTTTTTTAATTTCTTTAAACATTTTATTTTAAACATTCACTAAATTTTCCCATGCAATATATAATATTTAAACTTATGCTTTCTTGCAAATTGCATGTACATCATTTCAATCATTATTATAACAATATTCATTAAAATTATCAATCTTCCACTAATTCATTATGTATGCAATTATCAACCGTATATCATTCATTCATCAAATTCGTAAACGCAAATTGTCCATCATTATTCATGCATAAATATTCTCGATTCTGGACTATTTTTACCACACTCTATTTAATCTTCGTTCATCCTAAAACACCTAGCGTGTTCTCCCTCCAAGCCGGACGGTTGCTTTGCGCCCCTTTCCAACCGGAATATTCACCAATCCCGCGAGCTTTTTTCCGTGCATCGGCAGATCGAAATAAAACGGAACGTATAATGAAAATAACGGCGTGGCTGGACAGCGAAAGGAATAAACGCGAGGTTGAGGGACGATGGGCCAGACGAGAGGCAACGACAAGAGGAGATGGCGGGCGGGAG